TGTTTGAGCTGATACTGTAGTTTAGAGCAGGCATCCCCAAACTCGGTCCTCGAGGGCCGCTGTCCTGCAGGTTTTAGAGGTTTCCTTGCTCCAGCACAGCTGATTTTAATTGAAAGCTGATTAACAGGCTTCTGCTCTACTGCATTCATGATAATCAGCTGTGCTAAAACAGGGAAACCCTTAAAACCTGCAGGACAGCGGCCCTCAAGGACCGAGTTTGGGGATGCCTGCTCTAAACTACAGTATCAGCTCAAACAAGGAGAAGACTGATCAGCGATGCAGCCAAGAGGCCCATCATCATTCTGGATGAACTGCAGAGATCTTAAGCTGAAGTGGGAGACTCTGTTCATAGGACAACAATCAGTCATATACTGCACAAATATGGCCTTTAAGAAAGAAAGACATTTCTTAAAAAGATTTATAAAAAGTCGCCTCAAGCCACCTGCAAGAAGCAGCCAACATTTGTAAGAAAGTACTCTGGTCAGTTTAAACCAAAACCAAACTTTTTGGCAGCAATGCAAAACGTGATGTTTGGCTTTAAAGCATCACCCTGAACATACCGTTCCCACTGTTAAGTATGGTGGTTGCAGCATCATGGTTTGGGTCTGCTTTTCTTCAGCAGGGTCAGAGAAGATGGTTAAAATTGATGGGAAGATTTATGGAGTCATATACAGGACCATTCTGGTAGAAAACCAGTTGGAATCTGTAACAGACCTAACACTGGCGGAGATTTATCTTCCAATATTTTCGCTTGCAAATTTCTCCTTGGGATGTTTAAAGCTTTGGAAAACTTTTTGTATCCAAATTCAGTTTTAAACTTCTACACAAAAGTATCTCGGACCTGCCTGGTGTGTTTCTTGTTCTTCATGATGCTCTCTGCTCTTTGAACAGACCTCTGAGACGAACACAGAGCAGGTGCATTTATAAAAAGACTTGATTACCAATAGGTGGATTCTATTTATCATCATCAGACATTTAGGTCAACACTGGATCATTCAGAGATCCTCAGTTAACTTTTGGAGATAGTTTTCTGCACTGAAAGTAAAGGGGCAGATTCATTTTACATGTTTAAAGCTTGATATCTGGCAAAAGGTTTAAAAGTTCAAGGGGGCCAAATACTTTCACAAGGCACAATATAAAGAAGTCATGCCAAGAAAAGTAAATTTTTAATACATCTTTTCTGCAATCAAGACAAATATGTATTAGTATTCCAAAAAAAGAAAGTTAAAAACAAAACATGTTTGGCACGTTTTGGGGTCGTTTGGCTTCTTTTGTGTGCTTGCAATGCCCTATAGCCGTCTAAGTGTCTAGTATGGGGCATTGCAGGCTAACAAAAGAAGCCGAACAGCCCTTCCCATTTATAGAATTCCACTTGTATTTAGATTAGAGCAAAAAATGTTATAGTCAAAATCTTCTTAGCAGTTGAAAATGCTGTACAGCAGGATCGTCTGTTACTGTATTTCAGCTCCAGAGAAGCAGCCCCTGCCTGATGCATCTGTGGACATGCCTGGTCACATCAGTCAAATTCAAAACATCATAACCTCATATTACCTCTTGCTGCGGTGTTAATTATATTTAAATCTAGCAAAGATTAACAACAAATCCTTGACAGAGTTTTTTGTGCCATCGGAGTGCTTACAACCTGTGACCGCCATTGGACTTTCTGCGGGTGAGCAGCGACCCAAAGTTAAGCTGTTCCTGCGGATTTGGTCAGTTTCCTCAGGTGAGAGAAACCATACATTTCTATGAAAAGTTGATGGAGCTGCTGCATGACACAGGATTGAGTGGAAAATGAATGTTTGGTATTTTCCTGTCCATCCATGAGCAGCTTGATAAACTAAAGATGCTGCGTCAGCAGTGTAACCATTTAATGGCAGGTGGGAGTACTTCTCCAATACAGCAGTGGATTATTAAAAGAAAGCGTAAATAGGAAACAATTTATGTAACTAAGCAATAAAGCAGTACAGCATGTCTTTCTAGACATAAAAAAAGTTAATAAAAAAAAAGGGGATTGTCCATGGATGCCCCTGCCCCCAATTCTGAGTCTGGGACAACCAACCCTGTTGTCACACCTGTCGGCGGGCGCGTTGCTGATTGTGGTTGCTGATTGGTTTGTCCCCAAAATTTGTCCCCAGTGTTTGGCTCTTTCAGAAAGGGTATGACAGAATGCACTGCTGTGGTATATGGAAATACTTCGACTTGGGTCTAGCGGGGTATTATATGGGGGTTAACTCCAGGTAATGCTTGATTGGTCCAGGTTTTATGCTTTATTGGTCTCGTTGGAAACGGGTTTGAAAAATCAACCTGTGAAGAACTCAGATCAAAACAGAGCAGAAAATGGGTCCACTCTGGTAGCAAAGGTCAACCAAAAGTCCAAAAATTCTTGTGATAAATGAAAATTTTCCATTATATATTGTGCTTTGTAAGCCTGTAATTTTTGGCTGCTCTGGACTTATGTCCATATGTACATCATGCAGTAGGTGTGGGTGTGTTGTGGGTGTCCTTACTCCACAAATAAAGTCCTTGAGTCCAGCAAGGTGAGACTTGGTGCATGTAGTGGCCCAGGTGGAAGCTGAGAGGTCAGAGCTGTAACTCGTGAACTGTTGGTACAGCCCACTTTAGTGCAAGCACTCAGTACCAATAAGTTAGTTGAGTACACACCAAGACCTAAAACACAAACATATAGTTACAAAGAAAGAAAAGCTCACAGTCCATGACACCACAGATAAGATAAACTCTGGCAGTAAGTTTTTCTCTTTTTTCACTTTTCACCCTATTGTCTTAAGGTTACTGCCCCTCTTCCTGTATGAAATCCCCTAATCATCTGGGCCACTGTTCTCTTCACCTCACTGTTAAAATCTCATCTCTAAACACTATCTATTCTTGCACAAGAGTAATTACAATGTCCATAATAACTCTAATCAAAGTGAGAATCACAGAGTCTGTACAGTATTAATAACTCTGTTTTGGAGAAGTTAGGCTCTAGCTTTTTAATTCGCGTTCCAATTTTCAAACATTTTCAAACCGTTTGGTGGTTTGCCAAATGCTGTGACGCCACATGTCAATCAACCCTTGAGGCCCAACAGCAACTGCCCAATCAGAGGTCTCTATTGTCCCTAAGTGAATGGCTTCCTGTGCAGCCATGCACTCGGACAACCTTAACAGGCTTTTCCATTGCCAGCATAGCGGTTGTCAGCAAGGGAACATGTAATTCACAGACACATTACCCAAGTATTTAGAAGATGAAACACAGTTAATTCTATTTTAAAAATCAAAAAAATCTTGGAAAATATAAAAGATGAACCCACCTGTTGATGGCATATGAGCTCAAAACAGAAACTATAAACAGTAGCAACCAGTTTTTTGCCTGAACAAAGGTAACAAATTTTTCAGTTTTGTGTTGTAAATATCATTCTTTGCTTTTGTTTAGGTTAGAAAAAGCTTATTACCTACTTACTAACATGTGTGGTTATATGCTGAAATAGTTTAAGTATATTTACGTTTACCTTTATGTGATGCTTTAAGTGTTATCTGTTGCATGTTTTTATAGTTAGTGCAACAAACGCTTTACACCTGTCTTTATTTAAAAAAAATCTGTCAGGGCAAACTGTGTGCATGGATGTACACTAATGTTTAGTTTCTCTGTCACTTCATTTTCATGGGTATGTCAAGTTCTTTTTCAATGTGCTATCCCCCTTGGTAAAGCCTGAGACTCTTTAGTCTTTCAAATGCTAATCCCACATTTCGTTTTTTTTAACCCCTTCTCTTTTCAGTGAAGCCCCATTTCTCTACAGTTTCAGCCACAGCACACAACAGCCCACACTTGTCTTTACCAGTGATGTTATGGTCCCTGTTTTTTCCTCTGTAGACCATTTCATCGTTGTGATAGAGCAAATACTCCGTAATATCTCCATTTGGCCTATTGAAAGAGAAAAGGACTTAAATGATGACACTGCTGTGGAATAGTAGAAGACATTTAAAGATTCACTGCTTTGGGTGTTTTTATGCATTTCTAAAATATAGAGAAAAACAATTTAAACATTTTGGAAGCATCAAAGGAAAGCGTATACATATATCCAATACTATATTGACCATTCCTCTTTTTAATGTTTCCAATCAGTTCTATAGGTTAGATCTTTGAACCATTTTCTGTTAAGGAGGTAGATGATGAAGATCTTTAAAACACAAAAATCCTCCTAAAAAAAAAATGATGAGAACACTTCCCAGTCCCAGTCTTTCTGTTTTTACTACCTGCTGAACTTCAATCTGCCCTTGACATTTTTTTTAGCACATAAGGAAAAACTGGGCTGTGTGCTGCCCTTCTTGTCCAAAAAGCTCTACCCCAAAGTGTATGCTGACACGCACACAAGTATCTGTTACCTATTTTGAACAACCTCTACACTGCAGCACATTCCTCTGGGGAAAAAAACAGAACTCAAGCTGGTTGTAAGTGTTAGTGATAGCCTTCCATCACTAAACCCCAACCTTACACATTCAAGTTATTAAAATAGCTGTTCTGTCAGAATTAATAATCTATTTAGCATTTCCTTCATATTAATGCAAAACATTGATGACTACTTGGTAGTTACTGGAGAAAAACAAGGCCTCTACAAGGAGGTAATAATTTCAAGCACATTCTGCCTTTTTGAAACATTGTTCTTGATATGGCTGCACTAAAATAAAGTAAGGTGGCAAATTTGTGACTGAGCGAAAGTAAAACATAATGTTTTTGATATTACCTAGCTGGAGGTTCCCAGGTGATAAACAGAGCTGAAGGAGATGAAACTGCAAGTGGAGGCGAGACACTGTCTGGAACTGAAATGAAAAAAAAACATGAAAACATAATACTAAATTCATCTATATGTGCATCAGCAACAAAAATAAATTAACTGTAAGTCAAATTGAAGGACGATTGCCTTTCTACGTTTGTAGGTATATATATATACCTAAAATATATACATACGGTATATACATATATAGGTATATACCTGTTTTGCATATACACTGGTCTACATTTCATCCCCGATATTCTATTCAAGAAATATTTAAAAAGCTGCAAAGATTTCTGTGTAAGATGTCTTCACTGGGGAATAAAATTGGGCAGGAATAGAATACACTGATGAAAAAAGAATTCTGAATACACTTTTATTCATGGAGTCTCCCTGACATGTTTCAGTGTTTTAACTCTGAGCTCTGTAGGAATCAATACAGTAATCTGTTTCTTCCCTTTAGCGTCACATTGATTTTTGCTGTCTCTGTACTGACCCCTGCCGTCACATTATCTCCCCAACAAGGCTGGTTAGTCCAACACAGATTAATGCTTGGACTGAGAAAAATGAAGAAAAATCCTTCTCTTCCTTAGTCAAGTTTATATTTCTTTATGGTCTTTTTAATCTACTATCTGCCATCTTTTGTCAAGCTCTTTTCTGCTCTCCAATTGCTTCATTCTTTTAACATACACGTTCAGTGTGATAAGAACTGCCTAGACATTAAGAAATAAGAACAGCCATACATCAGTACTGAATATAAATTATTTATATTCACAGAAATAAAGAAATGTTTTTTTTTTTTACCTTCTTCTGGGGTTTTGAAGCTTGATCTTACATCATTATCATCACCACTGTTACCAACAGGACTCTCAGAGCAGCCAGTAGGACTACATGCACTTACAGTAACAATGTACTGAGTTGATGGAGTGAGACCAGTCATCACACCTGAAGAGAACAGGGAAGTAGGAAAGACTACATTACAGATATGAAATACAATCTGTAAACTATTTTAACATGAATACACAATTTCTTTAACTAAGCTCTAAATACAAAGAGAAAATACCACATATTTACAAATATCTGAAACTAATGGGATAACAGTGGAGCAGTTCTCAGCATTTTGAATGTGAAAAAAAGGTAGTAGGTTCACATACTGTGTCATGGTCCCTCTTCATGGAACTTGAATGTTCAATTCATCAATAAGCATGTCTCTATTTTCTTCACTTTCCAAAACACAGTCTCAATATCTTTTTTTCAAACACAGATGTGATGCGGAATAGAACAGAACAGACGGAGGTGGGCTGCACCAGAAAGACTGGAGAAAGGTCCTCCTATTTCTTCAGCAAATATTTTGGTTGTATATTATATAATCTGATAAAGCCTGTTGTTTCTTTGTTTTGTTTTGGTTCCCCTTGGTTATTTTGTTAATAAAACAGTGCCGTCGAGTGTAGGATTTGCCCTGAAATCGAAGGATTGACGGTTCAAGCCCTGGCTCCGGCTTTCAGTGTCGTTGTGGGCAAGACACTTCACCTCCATTGTCTACTGATGGTGGTCAGAGGGCCCGGTGGCACCAGTGTATAGCAGCCTCACTTCAGTCAGTGAGCCCCAGAGCAGCCGTGGCTACAATGCCGCTTGCCACCATCAGTGTGTGAGTGTGTGAATGGGTGAATGACTGAATGTAGTGCTTTGGTCAAGTCTCCTGACTTGAAAAAGTGCTATATAAGTACAGGCCATTTACCATGACCCTCTACTTGTCAACTTGACCCTTCCTAATGAATTTGGTCAATGCTTGTGAAGGTTCCACAATCTGGCTTCTCCCCACAACATAGTATGTAAACATCTAACATCATATTGTGGGGGAACATAACAAATGATCTCCTGATTTGAATGAAGACTTTGCACCATCTGCATCCTTCTGATGATTTGATATGCTAACGTCTTGACCTTTTTCATTGTTCTTATTCTGTTATTTCACTGTGTTTTACTCCAGTCGTCTACTTTATTAGGGACCACGTTTCGGAGAACCAGTCTCAGCAGAGACACCTAGTCTTCCCTCTCTCCAACACTGTGTTCCAGCTAAGGGACATAGATCCTTCAGTGTGTTCTAGGCCTTCCCCTTCTTTTTTGTGGGATGTTTCTGGAATACCTAGATCGGGATTGGCAACCCAAAATTTTCAAGGAACTACATTGGACCAAAAAAACTAAAATCAAATCTGTCTGGAGCAGGAAAATGTCTTATATAAGCCTCATATGGAAACAAGGGCTCTAAGCGTATTAGCCCACTATAAAAAAGGACTATGTGGGCTTAAATATATAATGAGCATTCATGATAAAATGTTTATCCTAGAGCAAATGTCACATCGTGTGACTACTCTGCTGTACGATATTTGGTGATTTGTTTAAATTCCATTACAATATTAATGTATTAGGTTTTGTTACATTGTAGAAATGATAGAAACACAAAGAAATCATATTTTTGGTGTTATTTTTATCTTGAGAATTTGGGAAAAAGAAATGAAAGAAAATTACCGTACCTGCATAAGAGCGCTACCCGTTTTATCTGTAAATGGTTTTATCCATAATTTATCCAGAAGTAGTGCAATCACATTTTTAAGTCACATCCAACTTTGTGATCCGCTGCAAATTTAGCTTGCCTTTCCTGGAAATGCCTTTCCAAATTTTATTATTTGACAACTTCCTGTTACAAAGCAAACATGGAGGCAATCCTTCCACATTGGTAATTAAAAAAAAATTATTTGGTCCATTCTTCTTTGAATCCTCTGTTCTCCTCAGCTATCTTCCATTTTTTCCCTTTGGGATCCATGGCCCAAGTAACACCTGCCAGTTTGTTTAGAACAGCCACCTGCCTGGCACCTTGCCGCGCTGAAACCTGTGTTTCCTTCCTGAAAATGTATTTATTTTACACATTTTTACAGCATTGGAAAACACAATGAACTTTTTTTTGACCTCCTGTAAACCATATCAAAACAAACAAAAATAAATTGTTCATGTTTGAAAAAGCTCCAGGGAGCCGTAGGGGGGCATTAAAGAGCAGCATGCAGCTATTGAGCCGCGGGGTGCCGACCCCTGATGTAGATGAAAAACTATTCTCCAATGCCCTCCCAGATGGCCAGGCCCCTTACTCTATTTCTAAAGGACAGCAGGCAATTGTGCAGAGGAAGATCATTTTGGCAGCTTGTATCCAGGATGTTGCACTTATGATCATGATCCAGATTTTTTTTTCTTTTACCATTGCTGAATCTATGAACATAGACTAACCACTACTGTACATGAAAGGATTCACCTTTTGTTTCATCTCTTTCTTTAGTACAACAGGCTGGTGCAGCTTCATTGCCCCATTTGTAAGCTCACCTGTTCCATTCACCCCTATTCCATAAAACACACCCTGAGGTTGTTAAAATCCTCCACTTGAGTTAGGAACTCTCATCTGACCTAGAAACTACCCTTTTCCAATTGAAAACCAAGAACTCTGAGTTGAAGGAGCTGCTTTCAACCCCTGCCACTTCGCACTAAGGTCCGAACCTCGTTTGAAGTTGAGCCAACAATCAGTTAGTCTCTCCTCTCCAGCACCATGGCATAGGCCTTCCCAGGGAGGCTGAGGAGCGTGTTCCCACAGTACTTGGAACACTACATCTGCCCACCACCCCTATAGCGGTCAAATGGTATTGTCCTTGATCACCAAAAAATATTGAAGACGATAACCATCCATGACAGCCAAAACATTCAGAGACCAGAGCTACTCAGATCTCTTCCAGCCCTGATTCTTCCCATTGTAATGCTATTTGACCACCATGATGACTTTAAACCTGCCGATGAATAAGTCAGACTCTGAACAACCAGCCTCTGCGTCCACCATGAAAGACCTGAGAGCAGGTTTGAGTAATTCTCAAAATATTACTCCCACTGTTCCAATGTCCTCAATCGAGGTCAACGGCGGCCCAAGTGTAGCACTGACCCCACCCCCACCAGAGCTGCCCAATGTTTTGCCAGAATCCATGTTCTCCATATACTGCAAGTCTTTATAAGACACCCCTAATATTTTACACCCTTTATAGCTGTTACTTTTGCTAGCTGAACCAATGGACTCTGTGTTACATTTCCACATTTTATTAATATTTTAATAGTTAAACTTTAAATAAACCAAAGGTGCCCCACAGGGGTTAAACTATATTACTTTTCCTTTAAAAAACTGAATGCCTTAAGACCCTTATTCCCTAAAAACGCATTAACTGACTAATTTCATTCCACACTTAGCTTAGCATGAATAATTTGTATGCAAATTGATCAAAAGTGAGTTACAAATACTTTATTTTTCATGTGTGCTACTGTTGCTGAGCAAATTTGCAGTGCTTGGCAAACAGACCCGTTTTGTTAACGTTGTTACGCCTTACTCGTCTCTCTCTGATGTTTTTGATTTAGCCGTATTGGCTTGCTTCACTACTTTATGCGTTTCCAAAGTCACTTTTTTACATACCCTGTTTTTCTTCCACTCCTCCCCACTCCCCTTTATACCTTCCATTCTCAATCACCCTGCGCTCATTTTTCTCTCTCTCTCTCAGTCTTATCCATGTCTTTAATTCAATTAGGGGGCCAGGGCCCCACTCTGCCGCTATTACACCCTCATTTGCTTTCTGTGTTTTTTTAGCCATCGGTGTAATTCTGCAGTCAGGTGTCGAGGCTATCATAAATTAAGAAGAAGCCTTATCACAGTGGAGTAAATGTCTGGAAAAGAGAGGGGGAGGGCATAAGGACCAACGACAGAGACGCTGGAGAAGACAGAGGCAGCAAGCTCATCATCATATTTGCCTAGAGACATAGCAGTGGGGACGAATAGCAGAAGTGGACGCAGACATCATCTTTATCATAAAAGATGAAGTGGGGAAAGATGGGAAAGTGAGCAACAGAAAGACAGAGACAGAAAGGAGTGATGCCAGGGAATGAGATCATTGGGGTAGTTCTGAGTGTCTTGTTCCAAATGGAGACAGTCTTCTAAAGCTGGACACCCGCCAATGAGACATCAACGGGTTTAGCTGGAACACTGTGGATGTATGTGTGTAATCATGAATGACTAGAGAGTAAAATAAGATGTTAAAATGTTTTTGGTTTAAGCCAAGGTCCTTATAGATGGGTGAGAAATCAAACAAATCTTCTACAGCAGGGCAAACAGAATTGTAATCACGTTAAAACTTAATAAATGAAACTATGCGTGCTTTGTCATTTTTTACTGTACATCTCTTTTGATTGGATTCTGTTCAGGACTTTAAAAATACATCTAACAAAAGTATTTAAGCCTCTTATAATGACAGAGGAAAGGTTTAAATTGCTAATTGTGTTTTCTTTGACTGTTGCCTGTATGTCTTTGTAGATGTCTTTGTTTATATGCTATCATAGTACAGTACAGTGTCAACACTTTTTTCTCCCATATTTTTTTAATCCCTATTCTCCTCTCTCCCTCAAGGGACCATACCTTTTGCCTGGCCCTACAGTAATTCAAAGTAAACTCTTCTTATTCTGTCTGACAAAATAAAATTAGTTAAATTAAAGAGCTGACCAGCAATACAATATAAAGTCAAGAGTTATATTCGATAAGTATTTTTTATTTATAGAAGGTTTACAACTTATATATGTGTATACAAATGGACTTAATGTTTAGCTTTGTGCAAAAGAAATAAAAAAAAATTGCTCTACTGTCAGGCTGAGGCATGAAATTCACTACATGTCCCACATTAAATAATTTAGAGGTTGAAAATATGTGTCCCTTACCTGTGAAATTGCCATTAGCCAGGTAAGTGGCTGTGATAGGTGGTACCTCTGGGTGGTCCTTATTGTAGGCTTTAAGCTCATATCTGTCAATAAGCCCTCGGATGTCACCTGTAGGTGGAATCCAGCTCACCTTGGCACTGAAGCCACTGATACTCTGCACTGTGGATGGAGGTGGTACAGATGTAGGTACTAAAAAAAAAGGTCAGGGGAGAAAAAAATAATCAAATTAGAGAAGGCTGTAAGAAGCAATTTAATGTGAATGATTTTTTTTAAAAGGCTTACACACATTACATGATATAAAGATGCATCTCAGTAAAACGGAATATCATCCGTAAATTATTTCATATGAAATATTCCTTTAAAAATGTAAAATATTTATGTGACATTTTCATATATGCCAAGTGGGGGTCATGACCTCCTTAGCAAGGAGCAAAGATCAAGTCAAACCTAAAGGGAAAAGTATACAAACAACAGAAACAACAGGTAGAGAGCACCTGAGATTAAAGAAAAAACCTTCCCCATCTCTCAGTCTTTAATAGGTTCAGTAAATCATACCAAACCATTTGCATAAAAAGTATTTATGAGAGCAGTAACTTTTCAGCACTGATTTAATACAGCCAGTCATTCTTTCATGGCTATATTTCACAGAATTCAGCCTTCCACTTCGCCCTGTTACCTTTTTTCCAAACATTTGCCACTCAGAGGAATCCATCCAAGTGTTTCTTTTCTACTCGCTTCTGATCATTCATTAGTTAAGTCTTCAGTCATTCTTTAACCTTGTTTTTTAAAACAGTTTTTACCTTTGCTTTTTTTTTCGTGGTATCATTTCATTCAATAGTTCTCAAAATCTCCTAAAGTACTGTTTTTTGTATCATCCATTACTGTGCTTTTTACTTTGTATTTATCCTTTTTTCTTGCTGTACTGTAGAGCTCGATCGCTTTACGCATTTTCATTGTCCCTTCTCAAACCCCTCCTGTCCCTTTCCTATATTATATAATTCCTCTCTTCCTCTTACATTTTCTGAGTTGTTACCTCACCAAACCCCTGTTGTCCTTTATTTCTTCCCTTTTTAGCACTTTCTGCCTCTTTTCAATTTGTCTCTCTCACTCTGGTCATAGGATGGCGTTCTGAGACCTACTAGTGTATCGTTCACTACTAATGAGCGGCTTTATATCACACAAGGGACCATATAGGCCATTCTGGGTTAACAGCCTTTTACTGTGATGCCCTTTATGGAGGCCTTATCAATCTCTTATACCGTTAGACTCCAGTAATATCAATGGCCTTCAATAAGGCTAAAATAGAGTACAGATAATGCTGATTTCGCCTGAAAAATTACTTGGGGGTTAGAGGGGGAAAAAAAAAATGCAAATTTCAACATCTACCATAATTAAAAATCTTGGGAAAATGAAAAGGAACACTTTGTACAAATACTTTATACAGAATGGATTGTGGTTAAAAATGACAAGAGTGAGCTGAATAATCATAAGCATTGTATATCATAATATCTAATAGTGCAAAAAAGAATATCCCACACTGCTAAAGACATGTCATACCTTGGCCACGGCTTCGACCTCTCTGCCACGGTGATGCTGCCAAACCTCCTGGAGCCAAGGCGACAAACCTGTACAAGTACTCTTTAAGTGTGAATCCACAGAGGATTTGGGGGCACATATGAGAGAGGAAGCAGATGTTATTCTAAATTAGAGTCAATGCATTCAACAAGTACACCAGATACATTTTTAAAAACCAATAGGCTTCAGATTACAGTAGCCTTAAAAATAGTATCTTGGAGTAATTTTCATAAATGTATCAAATGCTCAAATCTTTTTAGACATGATTTCAGGTCAGTCAGTTTTAAAACCCTCCTTATAGGATCTATGCTTATCTCCTATAGAGATAAGCATAGATCTAATTTTTATGCACCCAGAACTGCTAGCCTAACAAATATTAACTCATCATCTTCGCCACATTCATTTAGAACTAGTGTTTACCTTGTGTATGTAAATAGTCATGTAAGGTACTTTTACAAAATAAAAACATGGACATAGATTATCCCTACAGCACCACCGAAAGGAAAATTAAATTTATTATTTTTATTTTATTTTTTACATTTGCTGTCCTTCAAATTAATTAGGAAAACAGCTGGAATATAAATAAATACAGAAGGTTGATGGGATTTGTTTTTATATCTTAATGGATAAATTTTGGATAAATCTTAATGGATTGATTTTAGTAAAACACAAATACTTAGTATATTTAAACAGTTAACTAATTTAAGAATTTCTGCCCCATAAGTGCATTTTGTATTTCTATATTGATGTATGTCGTGTTTATTACGTGAAGTCTAGGAAATACTTTCCAATGATCTAACATTTTAAAAGTAAGTAATTTGTGTGGATTTAATGTAATAATATTTTTGAGAAGCTGAATTGTGAGTTTTCATGAGATAAAAAAAACGAAATAAAGGTTTTAAAACTGCAAAAAGTGCAAGCTTTATTTTTGTCTAAATTACTAGAAATTTGTATAACTTCCCACTGATAGTTCAACACAGCTGAATGTAAGCTGTACATTGTTACCTGTAAAAGGCTGCAAACTATGATCTGTGGCTTTTGTCTGTCCTCCAGTGTACACAAGCACTGAATCATTTCCTCTGCAGTTAAACCGGCTTTCACTGGTAGGGCAGCCATCTAAGTTGACTCTAACAGAGCGGCGATAGGCAACTGAGAGATTAATACTTTGTCTGGCAGAAGGATTTCTTTCATCACTGCGAACAGTTAGCCCCCGTATGCAGCCTCCAAGCCCTTAAAAAAAAAAAAAAAAAAAAAAAAGGGTAAATGATAAGTCAGGAGTACTAAAATATTCCACAACACATTTTTGTTGATCTGACAAACTTTTTTCTTCACTCCATTCTATTTATCACTCATCCTTCAAAACACTAACAATTTTAACTGTGCATGTACTGGATGTTATTGGTATTCTTGGTAATAGGTTTACCTTAGGTTTAGAAAACTTGCAATAACTCAATAACTCCTTAATTTCTATTACTGCAGGTTAAGGAGGGGCAGTTTATAACAACATAATCTGTAAGATATAGACTTAGTTCTACAACTTTAATGAAAGCTCCTTGACAAATGGAAACTTTTTGTGTTTTGAATTATTTGGAAATTGTAGAAATTCTTTTTACAGCTACTAAGAAGTAATAATAAAACAGACACAGCCCTTCCAAAAAAACATCAATGTTGAACCCCTGAAATTAGAATTCATCTCACCATGTTTGTGACTATGAACATTCAGAGCCTGGTGCGAGAGTTCAATTGGTACGCCGCCGAGGTACATCGGGGATTCAGCTCTCAGTCTTGCTGCCCCCCCCACTCCCCTTATTTCCTCGGCCACCTCATCCAATGCAGCAGAGATGAGAGAACCCCGTTTTGCCAATGACAAATGCTTCCAGTCTCCATCACAGTAGCTAAGTCCCACCCACATACGAAGTTCAGTCACATGGCCTCCAGCAGCAAGAATAAAAGACAAGAGACCAGCTTCCAGTTCAACCTAGAAAAAAACAAAAACATTTGTACGATATAACAATTAAACATAATTAAATTATATATGTTCTTTAAATACTTGCTTTAAATAAGTCCAATATCTTACAAGCATATAATCATCAGTTTGTGAGCTGTATGTGAACAGCAAAAGTGCACTGAGCTGGTCAGTTCTGAAATCCATGGAAATGTCGAAGTTTTGTCCTCCACTGAAAACACCTGCGTCTAACTCCAAATAACCTGCAAGTAGACCGACTTTCCACATTAATTTTTTTATTACAAAAGAAGTTACAAAAGAAGAAAATACTGAATATGGAAGGAAGAGGTTTATAAACAGTTTGACAGTCCACAAAGCAAATCGTTCCTGTTTACAGAACAATTTGCAGTGCAAACTACCAACAAAGTGTAAAATTGAAACCAAAAAACTGTACACATAAAATAAGTGAAGTATCAAAGAAATCAAAAGTAAAATCCTACCATCCCCAAGAAAATGGACTCCTTCCACAGTATGAAGAGGACATCCTTCCCAGCTTTCGTACACTCCCAACTTCTTTGTGGCTTTTTTCCAATCCAGTAATTTCCATTCCTCTAAAGGGTTGTCAGTCATCTTTAAACTAACGTCCCTTAGACAGCCAGAGAAGCCCCTTCGCACCAGTTTCGTATCCCCTGGTAAGACAGACACTCAAGGCGTCAACCAAATCCTATTTTTCTAAATTGCTTAATCAAATGATGTTAATTGATTCAGGCTCCATTTAAGGTTAACCGTTAAAACATAATTTTAGAAAGGCCATACATTTTTAAATCTCATTAAATGTGTTATTTTAATTATCATTTGGATTTTTCATCAATAATACACAACTTAATAATAATTTGCCTTAAAACCAGAATAGTTTAAATACAAAAGGGAAAGCTCCAAATTAATAGAGAATTAAAATGCATGATCCATCGATGGAAAATTCTTGGCAACAGGTGTATACCGGAAAAGTTCAAAACATTATAAAAAGCAACAACAACAAAAATAAATGTAACCCTTTTGGTGTTTTTTTTTTTTATTTATTTATTTTTTTTTTTATCCAGTTGTACATTTAAGTTTGCCAGACAGTCAGATCATCAATATACTGTATACCACTTTAATATGAATGGGTATTTACCTGAATCATCCCTTAGAAGAGCAAATTCTTCGGGCAGGCCTCCAATGAACAAACCCATGTTTTCACCAATAATGCTGTTACCACTGGGAGCTGATGCACTTCCTTAGGAGCAGGTAGAATGGGATGGTAGTGGCAAAGCAAAAGAGCAGGAGAGTACCACATAAGTTTGTAAAATTAGAGCAATTAAATATTCATAAAAGATGGCAAGATAAGGGCAAGTTGAAAAAACAAAACAAAAAAGAAAGCTTAATTAGAGGAACTCATAAATAGCCATACAGTACTCCCTATGTGGAATGATAGTTGTGAACGCTCCTCTTGTGTGAAAGATTAATATTAATCTATTAATCTATTTCCTCTATTGTACGCACAATACCCCAATAAAATTTTCTCTGGTCCCCTCCCTGATCTGACTAGTGATAACATGTTTAGCTGCATGTCGTCATTCAACCGCTGGTTGTATAGGTGGTGTCCTGAAAACAATTATGGCTACATCAGTAATTGGCAATCCTTTTGGGGAAAGCCAGGTCTGATTCGGAGAGATGTCATCCATCCCACTTTGGACGGTGCAGCTCTTATTTCTAGAAATCTGGCCAAATGTATTAGTCCTCCAAAACCCTGACAACCCTGGGTGCACTCTCAATCTGCAGGTTTACCAGTGGTTCCAAAAATTTCTAAAAGTAAAATGGGAGGCAGATCTTTTAGTTATCAGGATCCTCTCCTCTAGAACCAACAACCAGTTATAGTCCGTGAGGCAGACACTCTACTGTCTACTTTAAAGGGTAGGCTTAAAACTTTCCTTTTGGTAAAGCTTATAGTTAGAGTGGCTCAGGTTATCCTGAGCTATCTCTAGTTAAGCTGCTATAGGCTTAGACTTCTGGAGGACATAGGGACTCATTTTTCATCATTCTGCTTTATTCTATCCCTATTCTCCAACTCTGAGAATCTGTTAATTCAATCTCCAACGTTACGCCCTCTCTGCTTTTTCTCATAGTAGCTTTACCTTGTCTGTTTCCGTTTGGTTGTGACACCATCCCGGAGAGAAATATCAGCTGTGCAGCTACCATTTAAATCTTTGTTTATTGATGTTGGAGCTCGGCCTGTTTTTCAATGTAGTCCTGTTTCTCTGACTGTGACAAGCTGGATGTGCTCTATTTAATCCTCTGAACATGGGAGTAGGCTTGGAGCTTGTCTGCCTGGCTGTGTGTTTCCTGGATGGCACCGCCTGCGGAGTTGGTTGACAGTTGTCTTTTGTATCTCTGCTTCTGTCTCTTTGAACCCCAGTTGGCCTCGGCAGATGGCCCCTCACATTGAGCCTGGTTCTGCTGGAGGCTTTATTCCTGTTAAAAGGGTGTTTTCCTTTCCCCTGTAGCTACAAGCATGCTTGGTGTGAGGGATTGCTTTAGAGTCAATGAGTCGATGCAATCAGCTGGTTTTCCTTAGATAGAAAAATTTCAACCAATCTGACTGTATGATCTGGTTGAATTGTATCTGTAAAGTGCCTTGAGATGACATGTTGTGAATTGGTACTATATAAACAAACTTATTTGAATTGAATTGAAAAAGCAGCTTGAAAAAAAAAGTAACAAAACATACTTAAATACCCAAAGTAAATCAGATTTTGATAATGAAATGCACAAAATAACTCACAACATTTACAATCAAACCTTTATCCACACACTATTGGGCAAATTAAAGCACAATATGCCCACGAAATTTAACCCACTAACACAAGAAGCAAACACACAGAGCGGTCAGTAAGAGTTTAGAAAAGTTACCGCTATATTGATGGTTTATGACAACTGTTCCCATGGCACCTCTTCTGGTTGCTCTTAGGCTGTGCCACTGGCCATCATTGTAATGGCGCCCCCCATCATCCTGTAAACCTACAGCCACTGCTGACCCCTAAAAATAATTAAAAATAGAAAAACATAAATTAGCAAGAAAAATGCTCTCACAGTCACACAAAAACTTTAAAATAAGTGTATTTGTAAACACTACCCAAGGGACTTTGTGTTTAGAGCAATTGGCCAAGTCAACCTATGACTATTGAGCAAAAACAGAACACAGCTTTGAATTAAAGTATAAATCTAGACATAAAGGTCAGATTTATAACAGTTGGTAATGGTTATAAAAAATAAAAAAAAAACTGTTGGTGTCTGTTGCTGCTGTTCTTTTGTTCATTCATCAGATGATATCATGGAGAATAGTGGTTGGGTCCTCCAGCAGGTGGAAGCACACCTGAGACCATTTGGTGTCATCTGAGAGGAGTATAAGATGAGTGTGCTGCCGGCCCACCGATGTCTGAGTGTTAACCAATGTGGTAACTTCAAGCCCTTTGTGCATTTTTAGTTCTCTGTTGTTCTTTTAGGAAAAACTGCTTACCTTGTGCTTTGCTCAAGGTTTTTCTGTGATAAGTGATAGAATCCTGATCCAGCTCAAAGTCTCCGTCTCTGAAAC